TATAATTAATAATAATTTTCAATTATGAATGGCCACCATTACCATATTTCCACATATTGTATTCCTTTCAGCGTCGCTCCATCTAGTGGATGCATAGCGCAACCGCAGCCACTATTGTAGCTTCCTTTCTATGCGCCTTATAATGCAGTGTGCCCTATATATGAAAACAGTTTTAAAATAGGCCATTCATTGAAGGTGCGTTTTATAATCCGAAGTGCCTTATAGTGCGGAAAATACGGTAATTAGATATCCTATCCTAAAACCATGGCAGAAATACTGTGAAAGTGTTGCATTATGCGGCAAACATAAGATTTGTTTCAAGATTAATTATGAAGCCAACGGGCACTGAAGCCCAGTCCATGGTGAGTGTGGATAGCTATCAGTAATATTGAAAATAAGCATCTTATCAGTTTATTGCTAGTCTGAATGGTCAGTGGGCCACTAATGGCGTCGACAATGTGTACTTTGTCCGTGTGATATTTGCTTCTGAGCTTGGTACAGTGCTCGGTGGCTTCTCTTGCGTAAGTGTTCTCTCAACAGAGACGACGAGCGTGACTGTGTACATTGTGCGCCGACAACTGGGCATGCTTGTTTGGACTGTCCTAACAGACAATGTGCTGTGTGTGCTGGTGTCTAGAGCTGACTGAACCATGGTGTTTTCTATTTTTATATCAATACATTAAAATCAAATGAACGTGTCGATAAAACAAATAAAATACAGCCACATGGTATTTATTAGGGATGTACCATCCCACTTTTTTTTCAGACCGATACCCGTACGAGTATCACTGAAACAAGCTCCCGACTCCGGGTACTTTTGATTTATAAAGTTTCATCGAACACAATGACAAAAAAATTGTAAACAAGGACCTAAGACCATACAATGATTGGTTAATGTGTCAAACTGCTTCTGTCAGTGGAAAAAAAAGTAGTGTCCAAAAAATATGGTCTTCATCCCACGCATTTTGACTCTATCACTGAGAAATTGGCTGAAGTGTGGAGCAGAGGTTTTTCACCAACAAATAAAATATTCAAGAATAATTATTGTCAGTGTGAGTGGCTGTTTGTCCCTGTGTGCCTCGCGAGTGGCTGGCAACCAGTTCAGAGTGTGCCCCGCCTACTGCCCAATGACAGCTGGGATAGGCTCCGGCATCTACTGCAGAGGAAGACTTATTCAATGTCAGATCCCCCGCCGAAGTATCGGTAGCCTCCATGAGTAACCAATACCGTAAAATTAAGTTTGGTATATCTGGTATCGATTCTACTGCGCGATGTGCTCATCAGCCATCGTGCATTGGCTAGCGCCTGAAATAATTCTGCGACCTACAGAGTGTGATGGACATGACCCAGTTGTATGTATTCCTGTTCTTTCATGTGCACTTGCGTGCATCATGTTGTTGTTCCTGTGCATGTTCTTTGCTGTCTCATTGTGTCGACTCAAAGATACAGAGTATTGTGATAGTCTGCCACATGGAGTGCCGTCATTTGCTTCGCTTTTGCATATTTGAAGATGCTGAAATGAAACATTTTTTTATTCCTTTCTATCTGCCCCCGGTTACAGAAGAATTCACTGTTACTTTTCTGATCTGTACCATCAAATCTAACCAGGATTTTATAAGCCTCTCATAATCTGAGCCTCTGCATAGGAAAGGACACGCTTGACTACTTCCTGGATTTTACGGTTCAACTAAAATAACCTTGAAAGGGCAATGTCATGACAACTCACATTATGTCACTGCCTTTTAAAGAAATTCAGCTTCCTTTTCTTTTTCTTTCGATCACATGCATATCAGGCTTGGCATGTGCAATGACTTCTTATTTACAGAAGGAAGGACAGAAACAAAGAGCAAAAGAAAGATCATTCTCAAAATAGCTCAACATCAGAACAGCCACGCTTGACTGTGTGCGTGCGTCCCATCGTTCTTTTGTGTGTGTGTGTGTGTGTGTGTGTGTGTGTGTGTGTGTGTGTGTGTGTGTGTGTGTGTGTGTGTGTGTACGCGACAAGGAGGTGGAAGGGAAGGAAAGGGAGGGAGGCCATAGGAAATACATCCCCTCTCCGCGCCAGCAGTCATGTTTGTCTGTGGCTTCATGTCATACGCCGAATCCCAAAAAGCCGAAACACGGATGTCCCATTTACCTTCCTCATTTTTCAGTGTACATTCATAGTAGTGAACTCATTATTTCTTTACTTGGCTTTGAAAATGCTTTTCAGTTTTTGGTTAAAATGATGTCTACCTTGTGCGACATAAATAAAGCTGCCTTGCTTTGCCTTGTACCTGACAGCATGTCTATTGATTCTGTTGTGTGTGTGTGTTGCAGATATCTGGTCCCTCGGGGTGATCTTGTACATGTTAGTGTGCGGGGTCCCTCCCTTTCAGGAGGCCAATGACAGTGAGACTCTGGTCATGATTCTGGATTGTCGTTACTCCATCCCCGACCACGTCTCAGGCCACTGCAGAGAGTAAGTCCGCATACCCCACACATCACTCAACTGTCGTAGTTCGCCGCCGCCAAAACAAAATGTGCCTATGCGATGCGACGTCCATTTTATCCTCATCTTTGCACCACATATTAAATGCCTTGCGCAACTGACGGCTTCCGAGATTTTACCGAATACATGTGAGTCACCCTGTGTTAAATAGCTAGTGACCGTAAAAGCATCTCATTAGTTTCAGCGAATAATTTTGTGCTCTGGTTGGACTGTACACAGACATGCTTCATTAAACACTCAGTGGGCACTTGCCTTGAATAGGCAGCAAGACAAGTGTTAGTTTTTCAAAGGCAACTTACAGTTAGCACAGTCATTACAAGTTGTAGGTCGTGCAGCACATATTACATTTGACCTGCAACGTAGTGTTGGAAAAGAGTTGAACCAAGCACATCTAATCACTGTGCTTCACAAATGTATTTGTTGATAACCTCTGAAAGTAAGGTAAATTAACATTTTTTTTTGTTTTGTTTTCCCAATCATCTTTTTCCTGTCGTAGTCATTAGACCTGTAAGTAGAATTAATTGCATTTGTGATCAGAAACAATTGCATTCATTTCAGATTTTAAAATCATGAGAAAGACAAAAGAATCTAAATGAAATTACCGGTAATCAGTTACTTGGTATACCAATATTACGGAATGGACCTTATGTCCTCTTTTGGACATGGACATTCTTCTCCAGGAAGTCTGCTTCAAGGTTTTGAAACCTAAAAGATATGTGTTCAACAGAGTGATGGCTGGGAGAAAATATACGGTGCTAAATTGGGTCTAAAACTGATCATTTGTGGTGTTTTAAAAAATGTCCGGGGTGAAAATGTCACATAGTGTACATTGTTGTCATTGCACACCACTGATGTGTGTTTCTTTTCATTTTGTTTTCCAGTTGAGTAAGCATAAATGTTTCCCACCCAATGACTGCATGTTTGACCACAAACACTGCGGGTTAGAGCTGATCCGACACAATCGGCGCTCACATGGTCACATAATGGGGCGTCTGAGTAGAACAGAACAACCTTGGGGATATTCGTTACAGACCTCATGAGCTTGTGTCGGGCCCCCGAGAAATGTGGATGACATTCATCTGAATCCATGGCACATGAACAGAATGTTCTTCCGGATTGACTTTTTTTTTAATCAGAATTTCGAGCCCCCTTTGAACAGATATTTCACCTCAAAATAGTTCAGACCCACTATAACAGTTACACGCTCTTTTTTTTTAGCAGTCCTCTGAGCCTTAATCTGACACTCATTATTGTTTCTCCGGGGAAACAAGTTGCAGCGCGCCGATATCATTTCATTAACAGGCTTATGAACTGACTGAAAATATTTACTTAGCATCTTGGACAGAAATTATTAAATGTCCGCAAAGTGCCAGTTTACCCCTAAGGGCACACGTAACCCTGGTTGGGAAACACGGGGCTAGGGAACAGAACCGGTTTTCATGGAAACCACAATTTTCAGTGAAATGGAAGGGGTGATGTTTGGCAGAAGAAAAAAATTCAGATAACAGATTAATCATCTGAATTTTTTAAATTCAAAATTCTACATAATTTTTCAATTCCTTTAATATTCACAGCAACACAGAACCAAATTACAGGCAGAACATTTGACTATTTTACAGCGTGCTTTTGTATTTATGTAACTTTACACAAAAGAGAACTTTTCAAGACCAAAATCATGCAAAAAGCATGAACAGAGGAATTTATCATATGATTTCGGCGAGACACCCGTGCATGCATTTTCTTTCTGGCAGAACTTTTTTTTTATGCACGATGTCCTTTACATTCACCCTTTCATGCACCCTGTAACTGTCATGGATGCATGATGGTGAGGTGGAGGACCCCCAAAGAGCCGGGAGGCAGGAGGAGTAGGGTGGAACTGACCAAGATATACTGTATTTCACAAAAATACAGACAGGAGGACACTGGAAAAAACGAACTGAAGTACTCGAACAAAGTCCTGAAAACCACAAGGAAACAAAGTAACAAGAACCGATGACAGAAACAAAACATGGCAGGAGCACACAGACACTCACAATGATCCAACCAAGACTGACAGAACCCAGGCAACTAAATACAAGCAAAGTGACGAGAAAACGAGAAACACCCGGACAAGACACAAAGGGTTGAGGGAGCCGATTGGTTAAACACAAGGGACACTGATGACGACAATAGGTGGCGACAAAAAGGGCACACGAGGAAACAAAACCAAATGTAACCTAAACAAAAGCATTAACAGTAACCTGATAACATGATAAGCTGTCCACTGTAAAAGGGTTCAAATAAAAATTGTAGACGCATATTTCAGATGTCAAAACATTTCATGGGCGGCGCGGTGCTCCAGTGGTTAGCGCGTCGACCTCACAGTGCAGAGGTACCGGGTTCAATTCCATCTCCGGCCTTCTTGTGTGGAGTTTGCATTTTCTCCCCGGGCCTGCGTGGGTTTTCTCCGGGTACTGCGGTTTCCTCCCACATTCCTAAAACATGCATGACAGGCTGATTGAACACTCTAAATTGTCCCTAGGTGTGGGTGGTTGTTCGTCTGTGCGTGCCCTGCGATTGGCTGGCAACAGGTTCAGGGTGTCCCCCGTCTACTGCCTGAAGACAGCTGGGATAGGCTCCAGCACCCCCCGCCACCCTTGTGCGGATAAGCGGATCAGAAAATGGATGGATGAATGAATGAAAACATTTCATCTTTGACGGAGTTGCTTTTTGCATATATGATGTGCAAAGACAGAGCAACTCAAACTGAAACGGGAGCCCCTTTTTTCCTCATCCATGAGTCAATGTTTCCCCAAAAGAAATGTGTGCATCGACAGCGGTGCCCACACTTATTTCGCATGCGAGCGACTCATAAAATGACCCCCTTCTAAATGATCTCACTTATTTATTTCATCATGTATTTATTTTAAAATATACTTTGAATTCCTTCCATGCACAATAGGTGTATCTTGCATCGCTGCATGAACCAGCCATCTTTGCACAACACAACTAGAGTACATTTCCTCTCCTTAACTTGACTCGGATGACTTGTGCTGAATGGAATCGGCCAGGGGAGGGAGTCCGGATTGGAGCTGCTGATAGTGAGCCACAAGCACACTTCCCAATGAACATCGGTCATGTTGGAATGCAACTTGGACTTATTCGTGTTTTTATCAATGGCCCAAAATTGCTGCTCCAGCTTTCCCTCCTTCGGCCGCCCAGCATGCGCCCAAGGCAGATCGACCGTCATGACGCACTGGTCAGCCGGTTATCTCAGTCCCCGCCACCACCACATCAACCAGCAGCCGCGACACACCATTGGCGGGCCCTCCGCCTTGCGCCAGTGTTTGGGTTGTCATTCTCCAGTGCGAAACTGAGCATGTTCCCAAGCACTTTACCCGCTTCCTCCTGAACCAAGATGCCCCGCTACGGAGCCCACTGCAGAAAAAAAATAAAGAAATAAAAATCCTCCTCTTACTCTGTCTGGAAATACTTTGCTTACTTGCTCCTGGAAACTGCAAATGTAACCGTGTTGTAGTATATGTGAATCTTTAGCCTTTTGGATTGTAGGGATTCAGAGCCAGCGGCACAGTGGGCGACTGGTTAGCATGTCGGCCTCACAGTGCAGAAGTGCGGGGTTCGATTCCGGCTCTGGCCTTCCTGTGTGGAGTTTGCATGTTCTCCCCGCAAATTCTGAATATATCGCCGTACGATTGACAAAACTCTGGTCAAATAATGGGACAGGCCACCGCAAAAATGCATTTTAAGTGAATGACAGACAACAACTTTTTTTTCGCTGTATTATCTGATTGTGTTTTCTTTGACAGTCTGATCTCCAGGATGCTCCAGAAGGATCCATCAGTCCGAGCGTCACTGCAGGAGATTGAGGCTCACTGCTGGTTACAGGGGCTGGACAATGTGCTGCTCAGCCCAGAGGCGCCTCCCCATTGGCTCTCGGGGGCCCTCTCCTCTACCTCGCCGCTCTCCCGAATGGTCGAATCTGGCGACTTGCTCGCCGCCAAGCCGCAGTCCTTACCGGCGCCGCGGCAGGTCAACCTCAGCTACTCGCTTCACCCGCCGCCGGCCGAGGAACCTCGCGTCGCCAAGAACCTCCCAGCTCTCCTGCAGATTTGTGAGGAAGAGGAAGAGGAGGAGGACGAGGTAGAGGAGAGCAACCTGGCCAAAGAGTGTGAAGGTTTGTTGTCGTTGTCTGTGACTGAGCCACAGAAGAAGGTTGAGGTCGTGCTGGACGGTGCGGACGATCAAGAGGAAAGGGCGGAAGAGCAAATGGGGGAGAAATTCGAAGAGGAGGAGGCTGGAGTGGACACGGAAAGAGAGCGCACGCAAAGCGCCAGCGTGATTTCATACCAACCGGTCGCTCACCTAAACAATCTCGTGAGTCACGCGCCGGAGCGCCCCGCCTCGTGTGAGGCTAAGGCGGCTTTGAGGGTGCCGTGCTGCCAGGGGTGGAGTGAGAAAGCCCCCCACCAAGAGACGGAACCAAACAACAACTTCAACAAAGCCGCCGCCTCCGCAACGCCGAAAAACCAAAAGACACACCGCGGAGAGAAGAAGGAGCAGTGGACGGACACGGGCGCCAGGGATGACTTTGTAACGGACAGATCCCAATCGCGCAATACGACCGGGCCCTGGGACGAAGCCGCCAATACCGCCGCCGCCGCCAGGGTGGAGCCGGCGGGGAAACGCCACAGCCTCAAGCTTCGCGAGCGCCTCTTCCAGTTGCCCCTGTGTGAGAAAGCGCTGGCCTTCAACATCCCCACAAACAACAAAGCCAAGATCCTCCCACTGGCTCAGTACAACTGTTGCCATGTGCTTTAAATGACACGCACGCACGCATACTCCAAGCTGACCACAGGAGAGTTTCGAGTGCACACTTGAGCAGGAATCACAAAGTTAAAAGCTCCAGTTTGTCGACGGCACAGTGGTTTGAGTGGAGCCACTTTGCGACTTGGTGAGCGTAGCAAGCACACTGTACCCACGCGGAAGGAGAGAAAATTGTCCTCGTGAGCTGCCTACAACGAAGGCTTCACAGAAAAACAAAACAAAACGCAAAAACTAAGCACTTGTTTCTTCTTCCCTTTGCACAACCCGCTTCTCTGGTTACAAACCTCTTAATATAAGCTGAGAGACTGTTACAATGTTATGATATACGCCACATGCTATAATATGCCTCAGACTGAGATGATTGTATCATTCTCCGTCCTCTTAATGTTCCGTCCGTTGATCACTCGCCCTACTAGTTTTTTTTTTTGTTGTCACATCGAGGATGCGATCGACACTTCGAAGTGTTGCGAGGTTTGCCAACCATCGTCATGGGAACCATGTGACTTGCTGTGCATGCTCTTAAGCGTTATTTATCACCGTATACCTCCATACCGTGTCTTGGCTTTAGCAAGACACCGCTGTCTTGTCTTGTTACCTTGATTGCACACAGTACAGCACCCGGTAGCTTCCTACTACTGTACATCTTGGAATATGAATCACGTGTTACATATTGGTAGAGGAGTCACTCCGTGTATATTTGGTGTATTTTCACATCCACTCATGTCTTATTCGAGGCAAAGATGATAATTGTAGATACATTTTGTACAGTGATAAGAGCCAAAGCTGTAGAATAAGCTACTGTACAGTAACACATATACTTTCCCTGTAGCCTGCAGAGCAGCTTATTTGTGTTCATTTCTACTGTTTCATGCCGAAATTGGGTATGCAACCGGGCATACATTCCTCGCTTATCGAGAAAGCGTGAAATTTGATTGTCGCTTGTATTTCGGCAGCACTGTAAGCGTAAAATTTGTACCAAGAACAGATTCAATAGAGAAGTGATTATTCCTGTACAGTTGCAGCCTGCCTGCCCCTCCCTGGTGTGTTTTGTTCTTCTGCTTTGAATTAGAGGACCTCGTCTCTCTGGAGCCTTGTACTTATTTTTTTCTGGATTTATTTATTAAAATGACATCAATGTAACCAATGTGCTCCATGATGTTTGTCAGGAAGAAGAAAAAAAACACTTTCTTCATTTGTGTCTTTATTGCGATACAGCCTGTGGTGGTCACACATCAGGTCAAGCTAACACATGCAGAACACTTAGTTGATGCCGACTGGTGGCTGGATGTGGAATATCTACTTTTTCATTGTAAACAGATTGGGGCTCCACAAGCGGTGTTTTGGAAGAATAAAACCTCCTAATGTGTGAGTGGCCACATTGACGTCGTCGTCGTGTATGTGTGATGTTCCGTCTGCCTGCACTGAAGAGTGAATAGCACAATGTGCACAGAAGACAAATGAGTGGTAATACTGACCAGTTAAGCAGTCATTAGAGGCACAATCCAGAACATAAAAGCATTGGACAACCCACCCCCACCCCCCACCCCCCAAAAAAACGCATATAATAGCAGAGCACAAGTGGTCTTTTGTTTTTTCCTTATTATTTTTCTCAAGGCTTAATATTCAAATCCAGCATTAAAAAAAAAAGATGTTAGCATTTTAGCAGCCACATTTTTTATGGGAGCTCAGTACCAAAACACAGTCTAGTATTGTTACGACCAAAGCAAATAAGAAGTAGTTGTAGTACTTTCCTAAACAACTATAATTATGATCAAGAGAGCAGTTTCAAGTCAACTACAGTACTTACTGTTCACTCAGATATTTATTTTCCTATTGTCACTCGCTTTAGCTTATCTACAGAATCAAGAATACAGTGTCAGCATGATAAATATTTTTGCCTCTTCCTGAACTTGCACTCCCTTTTAACCACCTCACTCAAACCCTTGTACTGTCAATCTCCTTTTAAAGGCAACAAACAATATATACATTCGGTTTGCGTGTATTCTTACAATAGGACAAATACTGGACATTCTAAATGCTGTTTGAATTGCACTGTCAATGTCCATGTGATTGGAGAGTGCAGCTCAGAGCGTGTACTGTATGTACATTGTCGAAGCACCATGTGTCTTTCTAGCAAGAAGCTTGCTGGAATTAAAGCTGACATTTGGAACTTGGGAGACAAAATTACTGCTGTTCAGATGACCAAACAACGCAAGGTGCAAAATTACCAGGCACAGAAAATTGAGTTTTTGTGAGTGGTTTCTGCAAGATGTTCGACACCAGTGTTATGCTTGTATTTGTAATTGTCTGAAAGGCACACATTTTCATGGAAGACAACTTTTGGATTGTTGCAATATTTATCATTTAAAACATGTTATATGGTATGCCAATGTTAATGTTGTGGGGACACAACATATTTGACACAAATATACAATCCATCTTTGTTTTTTAAATATATATATATATAT